CGATGCACTCCTGTCCTCACCGACACCGCACTATTGGGCCGCGTTCCTGCCCCCGCCCCCACCGGCGCCACGCTCCCGCCCCCGCCGACAACGCACTCCTGCCCTCACCGACACCGCACTCTTCGCGCGCCGACATTGCGCGATTGGGCCGTGCTCCCGCCCCCGCAGATGCCGTGCAATGCGCCGCTACTCACAAACTGAACCCGCCGTCCAACTTTCCTACCAAATATGTAGTAGTAGTAGTAGTAGCGTGTGATTCATTACAATAGACTTAGTCGCCACTTGAATGCGCGCACATGCAGGTTGACATCGACCGCACACGACCCCGCCCTTCACCGCTTTAGGTAATCGCGCACAACCAGAAAGAGCCCATTTGGGCCGTACGGACAGGCGCCTAATAAACGCAAACTTGGCTTTCCTCTCCCACTCGTGTCTCTCCTTCGAGAATGCTGGACTCCCTTGTCCAGAATTCCCCATACAACATTAGTCTCACTGTGGACGGTACCTCTGTCATATTCAAACTCGCCTTGGCTGCTCCTGGTGCTACAACAGTAACAGAGTCTCGGAGTATGGTACTACAACAGCCCCTTGTAAGCACCGTTTTCTGAGCCCCTAGGATGCTTTCTAAGATGCATATTTCCATACCGGCATATTAGTCTAACGCACAGGGTTTATCTCACGCTGAAAATCGTTCCAAGACACCGCCAGAAACCCAACAGGAGTCCAATGAGGAGACCTCCGAATCCACGCCAACTTCGACACCACCGGACACTCAAGGTGAAAACTCTCCAGGTGCCAGGAGTCCTTCAGTATCTGAGGAGTCCGAGCCAGATAGTGCGTGTATTTTATATATTCTCATTCAATTTATCAATCTACATGGACAGGTGAATACATGCGCTCAATGTTAAACAAGCCCGAAATCCGCGCTGTTATCGAAAGCCGTCGGAGCACCAGCCTGGACCCCCCTGAGCCGCCTTCCCCGCATTCCTCCCCCCAATATCACCAATATTCGCTGTCGCCTCCACAGCACCAACGTTCTTCGCCTCTGCAGTACCACTGTCCCCCCTCGCCTTGTGCATCGCCGGGTATCTCCGATGCCGACACAGTATACAATGCCCTAAAAGACGCGTACTCCCTTGGCTATGCAGAGGGCCGTATAGAGGGCCGAAACGACGCACTTCGGCTGGGACGTAGCCTGAGACAAATCGGGACCATCACTCCATTTGTTGAAGCCTGCCTCAGTAAGGAGACGGATGATGCCGCACCTCACGGCGGCGATGCTACACTCGTGGAGCCCGAGCCTGAGAGCCCGCCGGTATGTATATTCACCCTCCACCGCAAGATCTATGAGCAGCTTACACAACAACTCATTTACAGCGTTACAGGGACATACCGAACACGAACACAAGCCGCCACCTTACGCCCAAGACGCGTAAACGCATCGCGTTAGAGCTGCCACCCTCTCCTCTCCTTCGAAAGAAGGTCAAGAGTTACAGGAGCACGCTGGAGCTGGGGCTGAAGCTGTAGGGATGCGCGCGGCGCTGAGAAAACGGTAGCATTGTACGTATGTATAGTAGTGACTTACAAGTCCCGGCTCGGCCTGAAAGCCCCGGCTAGGGCCCGGCCTCAGAAAGCTTGGGCCCAGCGACAAGTCAGGCCGAGCCGTCACTGACGGCCCAAAGCCCGGCCCAAGCCCGGCCCGGCTCAAGCCCCGGCCCCTGGTATGTTGAGACGGATGGATTAGCGTATGCGAAGAACACTGGAACGTTGTACATATAAATGTCTAAGAGGAATTATGTGCGGGGGAGGTCAAATGCACGTGTGAGGCTGGCCGGGAGCGAGTCCGCAAAGTGGATAGGCACGAATAGTCAGTCCAAACTCGACACCAACACCTCCTCATCCTCAGCGCCAGGCAGCTCGGCGTCCTCGACATCACTGCTTCCCTCCAAGAGCTCGGCGTCCCAACTAGTCGTAACCTGACTGCCATTAACAAGACCACTTGCCTGATAATCCTCATCGGTGTCTGCGCCTGCTGCAAGATTTCCCTCCTCGACGAGTGAGGAGGGGAGCTCAGGGAACAGCAATTGCTGATAGAGCAAGCTCTTGAGGCATTGGAGGGCCTCCACGATGTCCGCATTGAGTCGATTGCGGCGCTTGTCGATGGTGATACCAGCGGCCGAAAAGGCGCGCTCACTTGAGACGGATGCGGCCATGACGGACAAGAAGTCACGCGCAAGCGACGCCCATACTGGGTAGCGATGCGCATTTCTCTGTAATTGTAGAGGTCAACTTCAACGGTAGATAAGACATATACAAGACACTCACACCCCACCACTCGACAATTGCGAGTGTGCCGAGGGAATCGCGTGACCTCAGATAGCCCTGGAAGTCAGCGCGCCACGGTTTACCCGCGTCTTCATCCGCATCTGAGGCTGCGCCGTTGCTGTCTTCGTCTCCACTTGACTCGTCGTCTGATACTTCACGCAAGAGCGTGCCAAGCTTGCGTGAAGAACCTGCCCATCTTCGACCAGATGCACGTGGTGCGGTGCTCTCGGGATACATCTCCAGGTAGCGTTCCTTGTACTAACAAAAAATAGTCAGCTTTGTAAAGGGGATATACTAGGATGAATACGCACCGTCTCCTCCGCCTGTGCTAGTACGTCAGCGAGCAGCTCCTTTCCCCACGACTTTGAGACAAATTGAGCCTTGCTCTCGGGGTTAAGTACTGTGGTAAGAAGCTATGAGGTCCCCGAGCTTGTGGAAGGGTATAAATACGTACGAAGAGCGAACGTGTACACTTGCGCCTCGGCTGTCTTCTCATAGTAGTCCTTGATCTTGCTGCATCCAGCTTCAAGAGCTGAGCTAAACTCGGCATACTTAGATTTGCTGGCTCGTGAGATCCATGCGCGCTGCAGCGCTTCGAGAGCGGGGAGTGCTAGATGGAGACTCGGCCCCCGATCAGACGAGAATGCTTGCTGTGCATTGTCGGCATGCTGAAATCAACAACGAAAGGTTAGTTTTGACTACACATGAATCTCGCAGTCGGAGACGTACAGCGAGAAGGTCAAGGCACTGCTTGACTCGAGTCCACTCGTCGGAGGTTAGCTGCAGGTCATCGAGTTTTCGGCGCTTCCTCTTGTCTTTCTCAGCGCGTGCCATCTCCGAGACAAATGTATCCACATGCTGTAATATGTGTCACTTGGTAGGTAGGCGGACATCATACGAGTCTACGTACCTCGCGCAGTTCTTCTGCCCGATGGAGCATTGTGTACGTCGACGACCAACGAACGGGCATATCCATAAGTAGACGCTTAGGGTGTGCAATCCCAGCGTCGGACTGGATGTTGAGGAACAGCTGCTTGCGCTGAGCAGACGAGCGGGCCTGCGGGATACCTATCAGTACGAGAGCACCATTGTATAGTATGCTGCAGAACATACCTTGACTGCGATTGAGCGTATCAGTCCCACCACATCGCGTCGGCCACCCGCAGTAGCAATGAGATCGGCATCGGGTTTGGTAGGGTCATAGTGCAGTGATTTACTGTAGGTCTCGAGGAGTGCTTGTGTTGCTAGATTGATGATATGGGCAAGGCACCTGCACACCATTCACGGTCATGTCAGCGAGAACATGATGCACAAAATCTACATTGTGCGTACCGGACACGGTAGCTCTTACCGCAGTACGCACGCCCGGTTGAGGCGAACAGATGATCAGCAAAATGCATCATCATGGTGTCGTTGTTGGTGGTGTTGTCGCACGTCACAAATCCGACCTATCAGTGCGAGAAATCAGCGTGAGTGACACAGTGCAGACACGGAATATATCAGACTCACCTTGTGGGAAATCTTCAGCCGCTCGGTTACCTTGAAGAGCGCAAGACCGAGGTGGCGGCCGCTGTGCGAGCAATTCATCCGCACAAATCCCAGCAGGGCAGATTGCTGCTCCCACCGGTCTGGATCGGCTGGATTCGCTTCTATCCAGTGACCTGTGACTGCAAAATAACCGTCCGCCGTGTCGGCTTGCCAGGCATCACAGGTCAGGTTTACTGCACCCTTGACGACCTGACTCTGTCAGAGCGGATGTCAGAATCGACGACACACTTAAGATAAACAGCGTACATTGAGTTTAGTGCGGAGGGCAGTCATCTGCTGCTTGAATGCACGTTTGATGCCGTCGCGCGTGTTCCGCAGGTCGGCAATCTTGACTCCATTGGTTGCGCGTGCGGCGATGTGAATCATCTTGTGAAAGAGGGGGTGCTGTAGTGCGGAAATTGGCTTTGATCGTAAGGAGTGAGCGGCTGTATCACAATGTATAAGTCAGAGAGAACGAACCTGGTTGGTTTCGATGAGCCAATCGCGAGCAGCCTCGTTGAAGAGCTCATCTGTATATGGCACGACAACCTCCTGAGGTGGAAGCGGCTTGAGATGACCATCGAGGCGGCTCTGGGTTTCCTTAGATGCTGCTTTGCTTTGCTTCTGCGCCAGGCGGTCCCTCGGAAGCATCGAAGCGAAGTTGTTCGCTTTGCACCATGCCCGGTAAGCACCCTAATATTCTGAGCTTCAATCATGGCACCTTTCATCGAGGCGAGACACGACGTACCTCATGGTGTGCCTGCATGTGTCTGCGAAGCGTGCTGATCTCACTTGTGATCTGGGAACTGCATATACACGAGGCTTCCTGAGTATCATATACAACGAGCAAACACAGATGTAGGTACTGACCTGCACTTCGAACAGTCCCGGACCCGCTTCCCATCCTGCCTGCCGTAGGTGTCGCCAAAGAAGTGGTTGATGTCCCGGCCCTTGTCCTCCTTGCGAACTGGTGCAGGAGCGTCGATGTCGACCATCTCGATACCTTTCTCCAGATCGGCAGTCGTTGAGCCTGATCCGTCGACCTTGCGGCGCTTCTTCGTCTTCTTCTTCGTCGAGGTCTTCTTCCGCTTCTCCCCAGCGTGGCCTCCGGACTCGGACCCTTCGGAATCCGAGTCAGTCCCATCGGACTCGCCAGCGCTGCTCTTAGCCGCAGCGGATCTTGAGGGTACGGTGACACGACTAGGCCTTGGTGCGTCCTCGTCTTCGATCTCCATCATGGTGACTTTATGCTTGGGACCTAGCACATATGCGCTCAGAATTATACTCGGGAGGTGGCACCGCAGCGGACGTACTCGAAATGGCATCCGGGACTTGCTTTTGTGCGTTCTTCGGGTGCACATCCCCGGGATCCTTGTTGGTATCGTGCTGAGGGCCTCGGTTAGTACCGGAAGGGGCTGCAGACGCGCTTTCTCTCTGATAAGGGTGCTCATGAGTGTCAACAGTACGAGATCAGTGCGTGAGTGCGGCTTACCGGCGGTACATGCATCTGCCGCTCTATGGCTTCACGATGCGTGTTGGTCTCCGGTTCAGCGGCGTTATTGGCGTCTATAAGCTTCGCAGTGGGTCTAGAGGTTCTCTGAGGTCGAGTGCTTGCCATATTGAAGTGTATTTGACAGCTAGTAAAGCAGCAAGAACGGTAGTAGCACAGAGGTGGAGGACGGAGGTGGATGACCGTTACTAGGATGAACTGGGAGAGTTAAGCTGTCGAGCAGATGGCAGCTTTATATCCTCCAACATGGCCACAGCTTGGTTGTAAAAGCGAGACCGGCATTGTGCCATTCTGTGTACCAAGCGATGCGACGAAGCCATTGTGGCCGGAGCCACGGTGAGCGTGCGCATTGTGGGTCCAAGCCGCGGCTTGAAGGTCCCGGCCCGGCCTCTATTCCAAGCAAGCCGGGCCGTCAGGCCCTCCTAAGCCCTCATAAAATCCCGTCCCGGCTCGGCCTGTTTAGGGCTCGGCCTGACGGCCTGACGGCCTGAAGCCGGGACTTGCAAGTCACTAATGTATAGCATGTATACACATCTTTCGTTTGTGGTTTCCCGCCTCCGAGACGCTCCCTCGTACTTGCTCGCCCCCACCCCCAGTGCCCAAGCAAAAGAAATAAAAAAAAACCACGCCCACAGACCACAAGCCACCGATCAGCAGTGGACCCACGGACAAAATTACTCGCCCGATCTTGACTCCGCCCCGCCACCGTCTGGAACTGCTCGACCCTGTGCCCACTCCTACACTGGCCCTCCCTGGACCCTGTGCTTGCATCCACCCTCACGTCACCCCGACTCCGCGCCAGTCTCACTCGAGCCCACACCTGCTTGAGCCCGCGACCTTCTGTCCCACTCTGCGCCTAGTGCTGCCCGACAACGACTGCGGACCCGCGGCTTCTCAACGCCGAAACGCCCATGCCCACCCTTGATGCATGCCCCCACCCCGTCACTACGCACTCGACTCTACGCTCGTCTCGCTCATCCCCACGTCGACTCGCCCCAGTCCAACAGCCCACCCTGACCGATCGCTCGACTCCACACCGTACACCGCGCTCTTGGACTACAAAACCGCTGACCGCCAACTCGGACTGCTTGACATCTACTCTGGCCCGGAGCCGCTCGATTCCGAAAGCTATGGCCACCCGACCCCCGTGCACACGCCGATGCTGGATCCCGCACACACGCCGACGCTGGACCTCGCGCACACGCCCACGTCAGACCCCGCACTCACACCCGCTCGACGCCGCATCACTCTCGCCCGACTCGGCCCTCATGTGTGCGCACGCGCACGGCGCCTGTGCCCTCCGCTCTCGTTTTCATGCGGGACAGACGAGGTGCCAGTGCGCAAGAGCCAGGACGAGAAGTAGGCAATACACCAGGAGGGAATGCCTACGGTGTCGCACATCGCGTTCTTGCCGCTCGCGCCAGATGGACGCCCACTCCACAAGTACGTAGCATATACCAGTCCCTTCCTCTCCTCGCACCCTCCTGTCCCCGTATCTTAGCACGGGCCCGGGCGTGCCGCTGACCCGCGACGATCACAATTGCAGGTACTCCGAGCGGACGGACGAGCACTGGCCGAACTCGAACGCGGACGGCTATTCCTACTACACGATCGTGAGTACTATGCCTTCCCTTCTCTTCTTCCACTCTCCCCCTCCTCACCCCCTGGCCACTGCTGACGTCGAATAGTTCCAGGATCGCCGCAGCGAGCGCAACCGCGAGAAGCGCCTCCCAGGCAAGCACCCCAGCACCTCCAAGTCGAACAGCAACGGATCCTCGCCGCACGGGAACGACGGTGGCAGCGGCGGCCCCGAGAACGGGCGGTAGCAGGGCAGCGTGCCGTAGACATCGCTGATGTTCTCGCACTCGGAGCGGGTCACGCAGGAGCTGCAGCAGGTCAGCCGCGGCTCAACCCCGAAAACAATGGCCCCCCGACCCCGCGCACACGCCGACACTCGACCTCGCACCCACACCCGCTGGCGTAGTCACCCGCTCGACGCCGCGCCATTCTCACTCGATTCCTCGCCACTCTCACTCGACTCGGCCCTCGTGCGCACGCGCATGCTCGTGCTCGCACCCGCACCCACGCTGTCACAACCCCGAGCCCGACAATGACTCTGCGCGTGGAGACACGCCCAACCCGGAGTACTCGTACCCGCGCTCGCTCGACTCGGCTACGCGCAGGCACGATTGCAAGTTCGCAACCACCTGCCCATTCGACTGCCACGGTCCCGCGCGGAAACACAGGTTATGGAGGAAAATACATGGTACACATAGTTAATAGGTATTGGTTACTGGTTACTTACTGGTACATGTACATGTGTGGGGCCCGAGCGCAGGTTCATTGGCTAGAGGATGTGATCGTGTTTAGACGCTGGCGGTCTCGAACATACAATGCAAAAGTTACGAAATTTACCACTTTAACAGGCTTTTCCATAAGTTGTAGATTCTCGCATACAGTTCGCACTTCGTCACCTGGGCGTCACTTAAAGTGACGGACCGCGGAAAAGCCCACTTTAAATACGGGCTTTCGCTACTTCTGGGGCCCACAGTGCGAATACTGTGGAGATCAGACCATAGCGGGCCCGGTTGTGACGTGTGACCGGTTTGATACGTAGCGGGCGTGCGGGGAGGCGCCCAAAATTACCATATATGGTGATTTGGCGCCGGTGTCGGAGCGAAATTTGGGCGCTTAGGGCCCAAAAACCCCGAGTGACCAGTGACCGGCCAAAAAATAGCGGGGCGGGGACCCCCCTGTGACATGTGACGCCCCGCTATGGTCTGATCGCCACAGTATTCGCTGAAAGGTTTCTAGCGGGAGGGTGTCCATCAGGTATGCTTGAGGAGAGAGGGTACTCACTGCTGGGTCGATAGGAAGTATGGCGATTATTTCATTAAAACTTGATATACTGGGTTTGAGCGCGCAGCTCTTTGGGTTACGTTGATCAAGCCTGAGCAAGCCCTGCCCAGACTGCTGTCGTGAGAAGCTACTGCATGCTCATAGGGCAGCGTCAAGAAAAGACCCCGAGTCGGTCACAACTCCAAATGCCGACGTAACATCCAGCGCGCAGAGAGAGTCAGAGCGAGGCGCGGATGGAAGCAGGAAGAAAGCAGCGCGTCCCCGTCACTCCGACACGGACCGCGCGCGTGTGCGTCAACTGGATGCCGGTACGCCGGTGCCAAGTGCAAACTTTGATGCCGCCGTTCTCGCCTCCGAATCAGAATCTGCATCCATTGTTTGTGTATATGTAAGCTACGTCTACTCCTACAGCTACGTTATAAGTCGTAATACGATAGTGTGTGTGTGATTGTGCTACGTGTCAGTGTGCATACCTGTCCGCGACCGTCGAACCGTCGCACGGTGGTGATATCGACGCATGAATGTCCAGAGCTGGAAAGAGAAAAAAGAAAGAGACCCGAGCAGTAAAACATCAACCCCAGCAGCCCCGGGAGAATGTGTGCTAGCAGTACAAGATGCGTGGACAGAACAGCGGAGATAAACAAAAAGGGAGAGACATGTGGTCATGTCCGAGAGTTGATGCGTAGGCGGTATCCAGGATGCGAGCTGTGGCCGTTCGCGCCATTCGCGCTGGTCGAGGTCGGCGCCACTGGGGACGTCTCCACGACCTCGCGCAGTTTCCGGATCCAGGTCGACGCGATGGACGCGCTCGCCGCGACGTAGCAGTGAGACTTTATCGGCTGTACACTCGACCAATCAGGGTCCACTCTGCCCCCCTGAGACCGACGTGCACTGACCGTGATGACGACGAATTCGCGCTCGCCTTTGGCCTCGACCGACGATACGAGGCTGCGCAGGTCCTTCTCCTTCTCCGACGGGCGTACGAAAAGCTCCGTGCGCACTTGCACACCCCGGCCCGGCTTCTGCTTGACGCACAACAGCCTTTGGGACGTCAACACGAGTTCCCGAGGCCGGTGCTTCTTCGGTGCGACCGCCATCGCGAGTAACCGACTCGCGCGGCGTTTCGGACCACCGGGCTCCACCGTCGTGTTGAATATGATATGTTCCCCAGGGTTCATTAACGAGTTCCTGCCAATAGCATGAGCGGGACAGCACAAATCCCTAAAGTGGATGGAACTTACAGTTCCGGATCGCAGAGCCCGTTGCCTTGGATCGGCGTCTGCGCCCGATTCCGCCCTCGTGCAGCTTCCTCGATTGCAGCTGCAAGCTTGTCCACCGGACTCCCATCTGATGAGCTAGTGGCAGACCCAGTAGAGTGCGACCCAGGACCCGCGACGCGAGGAACGTCTATAGGGGGCGACCGTGCCAAGCCGGAAAACTCCAGCTCATCGTTGACCGTATCGCGGCCTTCGTCATCTAGAATCGGAGAGTCCGCTTGCGGCGGTGCTACGAAGCGCACACCTTCGCTGGAGTCGCTGCGCTCCTCTTCGACAAACGCCAATGGCAGGGGGTGCAGCGAAGTGATTCGCTTCTCGCCCAATGGCCCGATAGCCTCCGTATGATGGTGGCCATTCGGTTGGCCTGGGCTGAGGCTGTATTCCCTGCCCTCGCCGTCCGATTCCCAGCTCACCTCGTCATCCTCAACGGCGTCCTCATTGTCAGAATTCACGAGCGCGTCCCAGGCAGAACGCATCATGGCGGATGACGGTGGCGTCTCCTTCTTGACCAACCCCGCCTCAAGTAGAGGCGCGTCGACTGTCCATAGCGTCCGCCAGTTGATGGACGCGAAGAACGGATGATCGCGAAGCGCCTGGATATCGAATGCGCTCCCAGGAGCGCCAGCACCTAATCGCTGGTCAGGATCACGAACCTGCGGGAGTTGGAAGTTGTTGAGCGCTTCGTGTGAAAGGAAAGCAAAAACCTGATGCTCACAAGAAGCTTCTTGACGAGGTCCTGCGCTTGCTCGTCAAACCCGTCCGGGAAGGTATACTCGAGCTGTTTGATCTTCTGCCAGTCGGACAAGCCCCGAAAGACAAACCGACCCGCAATCATCTGGTATATGATGCAGCCCAGCGCCCAGAAGTCCGAGCTATTTCGCATTAGGATGGTGTGAGGGTGACTTCCGAGGTTGCACCTCCTACCTCTTGCTGCTCTCGTTGTGCTCCAGAAGCTCGGGCGAAACATACTGTGCGGTGCCCACAAATGTCTTGGTGGGTTCTCCTGTGCGGGGTTAATAACGGAATCTGCCGATAAGGATAAGGCACGTACCGCCAGAATCTAGAATCTTGCCCGTCCCGAAGTCGGTAATCTTTATCCGGAGGGCGTCATCGAGCAGAAGGTTCTCGGGTTTAAGATCCCTAGCGCGAACGAGGGCGGTCAATAAAATTTCAAAGTGCGGGCGAGAGTCTTGGCCGGAACCGACAACCGATAAAAATGCCTCCGACTGCCTTCAAATTCAATATCTACGGAGGGAGCAGGAAGGAAAAATTGCAGTAGCGTCACAAAAACTGACTCGTCTCGGACTGTGCTTGGGCTTGTAGGCTGCGGAACATCCCGCAAGGTTCGGAGTCGCGCACCCGAGCGGCCTCTTTAACCACTCTGATACCGGTGTCGCCGCCGGATGCGCGCTGCCCGAATTGAGCTGCAATGCTCGGGTATCGAGAAGCACACATCGGGCGGAAGCGCGTCTCACGGAATGACCGTGTGGTCACCGCTGGCTTTCCCGGTCTCCGAATCAGATAAACGGCAGAACTCACCGATGAATCACTCCTTTAGAGTGCATGTAGGCTAAAGCGTCGACGATCTGCGCTGAATAGTAGCGCACGCATTCGATGGACAGCGAACCCATGCGGGCGAGTCGTGTTTGTAGCTCGCCATTTCTTGCCAGGTCGAGCACGAAAACTGTGACACGAAGGGGAATAGAAATTGAGCGCACGGTCAATATTTGTGAAGTAACACCAAAATGACTCACATAGACTCCATTCGTCCTGAAACGTCCAATGTAGGCGAACAATGCCAGGATGGCCGGATCCTAAACGGACGAGGGTATTCTTCTCCGCTAATGCGGTCGCCTCTTTCTGGTGCCTCTTTAAATGCGCCTTATCTATGCGCTTTATGGCGAACTCTTGCCCGGTAGAGCGTAGCCGTCCATGGTAAACCTACGCAACATTCATCACGACGAGGACGAGACGCAGACATGCAGTGCGACTCACAGTGGAATATGAACCCTCGCCGAGCTCGTCGAGGAACTCAAAATCATCGGCCGTTAACCTCCCGTTGACTGAACTATTGCGCGACTTCGATGGCGCGCGCGAGGCGGGGGGCTTGAGCGCCGTCTGGTCATCCTCCTGGACTCCCAGTTCGCGCGTCAAATAGGCGGGTGGTCGCGAACCACGCGGCGTGGTTGGAGAGTGCGGACTGCGCGACCTCAAATTTGTCCGCGGAGCCGAGAAGTTGCGCATAGGGCGCGGCCGCACGGGAGTCGGGAGGGGGAGGTCGACTGTGGAACTCGAGCTGGAGGAGGATATGACGGAGGCATTCCTGCTGAGTTCCGCGAGAGTCGGAGTTGCGGGGTGAGACGTATCCGGCGACGGCGAGGAGACTTGGAGCTTCAGCATCCGACGCAGGGAGTGAAGAGGGACAGGATGGGCAGCGGGGGAGGGGGAGGGAGGG